ATCTAGTCATCATGTGTGTTATCTCCTGGAGAAGTTGCTTACCTGCTTGTTTTTCTGATGAATTTCTACCTTTAACACAACCCTTCTGGAGTTTTGCAGTTCGTGGAATGATGTACTACAGGAAAGCGCTAATGCTGCAATCATATTTGGAACGGATGATAACTGGAGGTTTGCTTTCTGAGACCTAAAACAATGTATGATTTTGTTGATTTTCTCTTTCTTCACCAATTCAAATCTTCTGTACGTTGTTAGATTCTGAAGCAGGAATCCCACCAAATGGAACAACGGATACTCAAGGATTTCACTTGTCTCCTGAATCAAGAGCACAGGCAGATCTGAAATTTACATATGTTGTCACATGCCAGATATATGGAAAACAGAAAGAAGAGCAAAAACCTGAGGCTGCAGATATTGCATTACTAATGCAAAGGTGAATTAATTTATTCATTTGGATTGTAATGAATGTACAGGATAGATTCTGGTCTTAGAATTGACGTCATAACCTCTCCGCTGACTTGGGTTCTACTTTCATGTAGAAATGAGGCTCTCCGAGTTGCTTTCATTGATGAGGTTGAAACTCTTAAAGATGGAAAGGTGAATAAAGAATACATCTCAAAGCTTGTAAAGGCTGACATCAACGGCAAAGATAAGGTGTCATTCTTTTTCTGCTCTAAAATCTGCTTAAGGCGTCCATGTCATTTCCATTACACTTGTTCTATTTACTCTTTAATTTAAATTCGTTCTATGTGTTTTAGCATTATGGGTAGAGCTTAAATGAAGAAACATGGTCAATGAGAATTCATATAGCGGACCCCACTTTTGTTGGTGGTGGTGGTAGTAGTAGTAGTTATTGTTGTTGTTGTCTGTTGTTGTCTGTTGTTTTGTTTGTTGTTGTTGTTGTTTGTTGTTTAGTCACGTAATAGTAGTAGTAGTAGGTTTTGTTTGTTGGTGTTGTTGTCTGTCTGCTGTTGTTTTGTTTGTTGTTGTTGTTCTTTTAACTATGTAATATGTCGTAATTATAGTAC